GTGATCATTTACCTACCCCCCCTCCCCCTAAAGTGGTCACATGATTTATGGACGCCCCCAAAGGCTTAATGAGCAGAATTCAGTCTAACAGACAACTGAACTTCCCAGAAAATTTCGAAGATGTCTGTCTTCCTGTATACCAACTGTAGATGAATTGTTCACTTTGATTGCGATTTCCCACAAAATCAAAGTTTTTGATTTATGCGCATATTATTAAAATGCGTAATGTTCTCGTTTCAAGTTTTTACAAAATTTTTGTTACCATGCGTAATGTTCTCGTTTCAAGTTTTTACAAAATTTTTGTTACCACAGAGTAGACGCGCAAATCAGAACCAAAAAAGTAAAATGGAAACAAAATAAATTTTTAAGGATTTTTTTTATTATTTCAATTCGCATTATGACCTAATATTTAATCGTATTTTTTTAATATAGTACATGATTGCAGTAAATATTACGTGTAACAAAAAAAAAGAGTAATAGTAATAATAAATGTACGCGTTGCATATGGATATGCACGCAACCTTTCTAAATAATAAAAGGCAAAAACTTTGCAGACATCGAATATTTTGGCTATAAGAAGCTATTTTGGCATGCAACGGAGCTACATATGTATATATGTCTGTATAAAGAAATGATCTTGTTACATTTGGGATTCGTAGTAGAAAAAGAATATAAGATTTCAAGATTTACTGTGTGTTTGTTTTGTATTCATAACTAGACTGATTTGCAAATTAGCAATTAAATGGCAAATACATGTAATTCTAGTATTATTGACACAATACACACGCGCTTATTTTCTTACAAATTTTTATTTAATATCGTCGCCCATATGCCAGAAACATGAATGTGTAAAAATTAAAATTTCTGGAAATCAAGTTTGAAGGGCTTTTTTACGAGACTTAACTCTACATTTATGCAATTGAAACTGTAAAATATGTGCTTTCCGTGTACGCATGGTATTCTAGGTTGTGGTATAACATAGAACATCCAAAGGTTAATCAAGTCAACCCAATAACTCAAAACTGATATATTTGCACATTCATGCTTCTGACATGAAGGTGCGGATATGTAGTATGTAAGTATAGGTAGATAAGTTAAATGTTATATTTCAACTGTCATCTTTAAAATGTGTAAAACCACAGTAGCTACTATTATTAATATTCTATGTATCGGTTAGCTGTTTCTCGAATTTTGTAATTTTACGCTGTTTTTAGAAAAATACTTATTTGTTACGTGAATATTAAACCTATACATTGTAATAAACTATGCGAAAATTGTTTTTTTTCACTTAATTTTTCTAAAAAGGAGCATTTCCGTATTAAGTACTGCTATGTAAGTTTTATCATTTGTTACGCTCTAATGATTTTAGTTTTAGAGAAATTCTTGAACAGCGTGATATGGTACATTAATTGTTTACTAATATCGTTTATATATTTAACATCGTTACAAACGCGCTCATAACGCAGTTTTATATCAGCAATCGGTTTGAGAATTTCAACCAAAAAGTACCGCTCAACCGCTATACATACGATCCAATCGTAGGCGCAATAGGCAAAGCATGCAAAAAACGTATTTAAGTTTTGGAAAAAATAAATGACACACGTAAGCATTTATGTTGTAGGTTAATACTTGCACCACTACTTTCATTATTGGGCTCCATTTACGCATAAACTTTCATATATTCTACATGTGGGACTTTTTTAAAATGCCCGCATATTAAATTAATCACATAATTTAAGAAGGAAAATCAAAACATACATACGTATAAAATAAATTGGAATGCAGTAAAATTTGCAAGAATGTAAGAAACCCGGGCTCTCTCTCTTCACTTTAACTCTACAAGCGCATTACAAGTCAGGGCTCTAAGGGACTGGGCGCATCCACTACCAATCACACACTACTACATAGTATGTACTCAACGCACTCCACTACACATTCCTAACATCAACAAGCAGAACAACTACTGGTAAGCAATTAAACTTGCGTCACGCACTGCGCATATTTGTCCAATTCCCCGCGCAGCACCTTCACACGATCGGTCTCCTCGCGCAGCAATCGCAACAGTTCGTCGATGGTGCGTTGTTGTGCGCCCACAGTTTGCTCTAGTTTTCCAACACGCCGCTCTAATTCACCAATGCGCGCATTATCGCTGGCTATAGGCGCTGCAGCTGGGTTGCTGGTCCGCTGTTGATAATGGTTATTAGCACCTATTGAATTTTGACTGGACGCCGCCGCTGCCACATTGGCAACTGGTGCGGATGAGCTCACCGCGCCATTGGAGCTCGGCGGCTCGTTGGTGGCTGTCGTTGCTGGTGAAGCGGTACTCTTCATTGCTGCTGTGCGCACACTGCCACTGCCGCTACTTTCCGCCAATGAAGGTGACATACTGCGATTACGTATCGATAGGCTGTTGGGTCGCGCGCGTACATCATCGCCGGCAGTGGTGGCGTTGGTGGCTGAGGTGGCATGCGGCGCCGTCGTCGTCAGTGAAAGCGTCGATGAGTCAGTGGTGAATTTATTGCTCATACTTTTGGTCATGATGTCAGCAATAGTGTTGGAATTTAGTTCTCGCTTCAGCACCTGCTGGCTGCTCTCAACAGTCATCGATTGTTGCATTAAGCTCGACGAAACTGACGAGGACTGTACTTTTGTGGTGGTGCTGGTCGAGCTACTCGTGGCGCTACTACTGCTATGACTGCTACTGTGATTGCTGCTAGTAACTTTGACATCATCGCCAAGCAGTCGTGATGTCCGATCGGTCACACTGCTGGTGCTTTGAGTGCGTGGCTCCACGCTGGGCGAGGTCTTCTTCTTTACCTGTGATGCTTTCAGCTCTTCCATCCATGGTGCCTTCTTCTTCTCCCATTCGCGTGGCCTCGGTTTTGCCAACTGTTCCTCGCCGGTCGAGTTTTCGTCGGACGATTGTAGTTTGCCTTCCTCTTGTGACAACTCGCCACCAGAAGCGCCGCCACCGCTGCTACCATTGAGGTAAATTGTATCGTTATTGTTGCTTTCACCGATTATATTAATGGCCGCCGAAGGTGGACGTCGCTTGGGCGCTTTAACGCGTCCTGCACGCATGTCTGTCAGTATGGAGGAGCGTTCTAGCCGATCGAAATCGGAGTCCTCAGTTGCTATAGTGGCGGCCCGACGTAAAACAACTGGATCTCCCGACGTTGAAATCTTGCTGCTGCTCATTCCATCCGCAAAATCTTGGGAAGCAGCGGTGGTGAGTTTGCTGTCGGTGCTTTTCGTTTTTTGCTTGCCGAAGCCGAAGAGGTTGCCTGCGAAAAAAGAACACTTAATTATACAACGGATTCGATATAAGGACTACGTGACTTACTCGCAACGCCCGTAACACTCGACGGTTTCTTCGTCGTTACGGTGGGCTTCTTCGTCAGCACTGGCGGCGGTGTCTTCGTCTTCTCATCCAAACTTTCCAAGCTCTTGCGCAATTCATTTGCAACTGCGGCTGAGCTCGCTGACATGCTGCTGGTTGTTGTGGTCGTCGTTGTAACACTACCGTTATTTGTCAACACCGTCTTCGTCTCTTGCAAATGCTGTTGTTGTTGCTGTAACTGTTGCTTCTTCAATGCCAGGCGGCTGCTTGCGTCCGCCGCATTCGCTGACAAATCTAGATTTTTATTCTCCAGCGATTTGCGTTGTGCAGCAACATTGCCGCTCTGCAAGCCTGTTTCAGAGAGTATATCGTTGAGTGAATCATATGAGCCGAAACTGTCCTTACGATTGGAGCTTTGCGTCGACGAATTACTGCCGGACTTCTTGATGAACACCTTGGATGTAGCTGCTGCGGTGTGTGCCGCCGATGTGGCTGCTGATGCGGCGGCTGATCTTACGTGTGCTGTATTGGCAGCGGCGGCGGTGATGGTGCTTGTGGGAGCGGCGGCAGTAGCATTGGATGCTTTCGCAGTTCGTTGGGAAGGTTGTGAATCGCTCAGTGATGTGACTAAAGAGGGGAATAATAAAAAGCCAAAGTGTTAATTAACAATGCAATATAAACAAAGCACAGTTAGCAATTAACAAAACGCTAGAGTTAAAGCTTTAGCTAAGAAAAAATATATGTATGTATGTTTATATGTACGAGTATTTAGCAGCAAGAAGTAATGGCAACAAACAACAAACTGCAACAACTTCAAACGAATGAATGCTGCCGGCAAAGCACTATTACTAAAGGTATGTATGTATGTAGGTATATTGTATATTGAGTATCTTTGTATAGAATATGAATCAGCAACAAGTTAAGGCAGTTCAAAAAACCAAATCGTCTATTAATAAATTTTGTATTTGTTGTCGTGTTTTTGGGATTAAGCACTTGTGATAAATAAATATTCAGCAAATAAAAAACAATGTCGTGAGGTGACAATTATAAGCAGTTGTGTGCGACAAGATAGCAAGGTATTTTGCAAAACAAAAATTTCTGCTAGGGCTGGAACTTTACCACAAACGGAATTAACTAAGATTTCGACTATCGAATGACAGATCTACATGTGAACAAAAACAATTTCTACAGAAAACCAAGACCTCCAACTCAGTAGATGTTTGATCGTTTTACACGTACTATATAATATAGTATAGTGGTGGAAAATATAACATCTAGAAATAAACCAAAATTCTGTAATTTATGTTTTGTTTACAAAATTGTATAGACATAATGAAAACAACTCAGGCCTTCTAGAAACAAATAAAAAAAAATGAATTTTTAAAGACAAGCTTTCCTAGCTGATTACTGAACAAAATCGACCCACACCACCTAACGGTTAATTTTTTTGTGGAGTTATTTCATTACTTTGAAGTGGAGTGACTACTTTTAATGTAAGTAATAAGCATTTTAAATATGAACCGTGTCGATACCTGATCGGTATCCACCGCTACACCTAACGAACTTTGACAATATTATTAGCGAAAAATATTATTTTTTTTTTGAAAATTGACCTTCAAAGAGCATTCCATCAGGTAACAAATTCATCCGACGACGTGAAAAGAACCGAAATAACGACGCCTTTTGGTTTGTGTGAATTTGAAGAGCCTAATGTGTAGACGAGGTGCTTATGTGGTATTTTTAAATAAATCAATTATTTAAAGCTTCTACACTGAGAAAAGAGTTTAGTTACGTGAAAATTTGGTTTTAGTTACCAAATCATGTGTTAAGGGGAATATATTTAGCTAATTTTTTTCTGAGTTGACATTAGGGTGGTATAAAAAGTATAAAATGTTAAGCTATCACGCTTAGATTTTTCTCAATGGAAAAAAGAATATCCGTACTTTTTTGTTAAAAAAAAAATATATTTAGAAATGCTTTAAAGCTTATGAAGTTTTTCATGTATTTTATATGGGAAAACACTTTTTCGTAGAAATTGTATAGAATGCTGTTAGTTCAGTGTTTTTCAAACGGAACAATTTCCAATAATAATAACCAATTGTCTACTTCACCACATTTTAATGCTAACGATTTTTTATGGGTCCCCAATTGCACTTTTGGCGGTTTTTGGAGGACTCATAAAAAAGTTAGTAATAAAAAAATGGTTAAATAAACAATTGGGTATTGTTACTGGCAGTCTCCTAAAGAGAAACAGAAATCGAAAAAAATTTGATTTTCAATTATTTTATACCATTTCTACGAAAGTGTTTTTTTTTCATATATAATACATGGGCTGTGAGGCAGTTTCAAATAACTTTTTTTTAATAAAAAAATACGGGTATTATTTTTCCATTTAGAAAAATCGTTAATGGCGCGAGCTTAACATTTTAAGCTTTTTTCCCCCGCATATATTTCTGGACCACCCTAGTGTACATAGATATGTAAAATTTGTTTGTTTATTCTTACCACGGATTTGTCTAACGTCGAAAGTTTATTAGTTCATTTCATTTTTAACCCCCTCGGCACTGGTTTCGGTTGACAATTCATGTTTACGGCTATGATTGACTCGAAATTTTTCCTAAGTAGATCATAAATCGGGAGTTGTACGAAGATACCCGCTTCGCTAAAATTGTCTTTCGAAAGATTTCCATTGTTAAATTTGGAGTTTTGTGTAAAAAAAAATAGTTTTCAACCCAGAAAAAGTCTTAAAGTGAACAGACAATAAAAAACGTCAACCTGGCAAGCGCTCGTTGGAGCAAGCTGGACGCCCCAGTTCAATCACTTAACAAAAATGTAGAGGATAATCTGGGCCAAGCACTTATCAAAAATGTGGAGGATAAGCTGGGCTAAACATTTAATAAACAAGTGGGCGTCAAATATATGTATACTTTATACGCGAAACATTTGACAGCTTTTTTAAAAATCTTAAAGGTAGTAAATAATCGCGGAGACGTCGGTTTTGTTTCCATTATTTATGCCACCACTGTATTTAAGTATAACTGGGCATAGCAAGTGTAACGAAACGGGCTCAAAGCAATCTTAAAACCGAGTTAAATACAAAGACAAAAGACTACGCGTTGAGTCGCCAGACAGAGGGCAGCTCTAATAAAATAACCAGTTACAATGCAAATAAACAGCAAATTCAAACAAAAGTAAGACGCTAATAAAACACCTACAAACATACACATAGCTGTATTTACATATAGCGCAATTTATTAAAAACTATATGAGACAACCCGTGATAAATTTCTTTAAACCTAGCTAAAGCTATTTGTAGAGAAATGACGACATTTTCATTTATTGCGAGTCGTTTTTAATAAAAGTTAAACAAATGAAGAAGCACTCAAAATAAAGTACTACGTACATATCGTCGTTTTAAGTACAAAACCGCGTATCGTCATTCTGCAAAACCGCGTAACTGCCATTTTTTGCCAAAAATTGGATTTGCTCACACAAGCTCTTGGCTCAAGCCTTATCCATTCGTCCNCAGAAAGATATTTGTATGTCGAAAAAGATGCACACAAATGGTAACTGAGTCACCTGCTAATTCAAAGCACGCAGCTGACATAAAGCTCGAAATGGGAATGGACACCGAAACCGAAACCGAAAACGAATAAGGCGAATAATTGAATTCTTCTAAGCATCAATGCAGAAGAAATGTAGTAAATAGGCAGTGATAAATAAAATGCGCTTCGCTTTGTTAACTATTCGCGACAATAAAAGCTTTAAAAGGCATATAATGTGGCATCATGCGAGCTAAACAAAGCCACCAAGAGCTATGTATGTGCAGTCCAGTCACCACTGGAAGACCACTGTCATTGTCACAGTCACTGTATCGAATCGCACTCTCCGATGCAAAATGCTAAGTAACAGAGTAACACTTATTTAAAAAATAAAAAACTGTCACTACAACACTTCCTTAAATTTGTGTAAGTACCCACCATGCAAAACATGAGAAATAGGCAACAATCGTCAAT